AAGTCCTTTTCCTCTGTGCTGCTCTCAATGCATTCTCCGCCCAGCCTGTACTTGTGCATGGGATTGCCCTGACCCACGTGCAGGACCTTGAACTTGGCCTTGTTGAAATTCATGAGGTTCTCACAGGCCCACCTCTCCAGCCTGTCAAGGTCCCTCTGTATGGCATCCCTTCCCTACCACCTACAAAGGAAGGGAAGGGGTGTTGCTCAGTGAGCAGAGCCCAGGTACCTCTGTTTATGGTAGAGGCTGCACAGAGAGTAGGGAAGTTGTATTAGTTTTTTCCAAAATGAGCCTTGGAGCCCCATGTGCCCTACATCAGTAATCCAGTGCTTTCCGGTGGCAGTCGATTTACTGTGCCTTTGCTAAGTAGTTTGCAAACCCTCTAGATGTCCAAAAAGTTCATTTAATCCTGCCTATATTGGTGGCAAAAGCTGGAGCAGAGTTTGTAAACAAGCCTGGAGGCGTAGGCGGAATACTGTAATGACAAGAATCTGTTAGGGATAAAGGAAGAGGAGGAAACTTCCCATGAAGAAAGGGGTTTTTGTTTCTTTTTAACTCAAAACCTCATTTTTCTTGGCTGGACATAAGGAGTTTGATTCAGTTGCCTCAGCACAGACATCTACTGCCATTTGAAATGCTGGAGGGTATCCACAGAGTGTTGGCAAATGAAACCGAGGACCTACAGGAGATATGTAGTCTTCTGCAGGAGCAGCTGGTAGCAAAGCAGGATACCCTGAGGCCTGTCAGGTGGCAGAGAGTCAAGCCCAGAATTTCTTTTTGTTAAGTTGTTTGTATTCACATGCTGCTTGTATTTTAGGAAAAGAATATGCTTTTGCTAAAGGCAGCCCATCGTTGTGTTTGCAGCACTGGAACCTGTTCTCACCCCAGGAGTCTGTTTAAGGACATGAGGTTTCAAAGGGAAACTAAACTTCCCTGGAACATCTCTGTACTCAAGTACACCTTGCAACAACAGATAACCAAAAGCTATTGAGGCTATTGCTGTCCAGTCTCCATTCTTTACCAGATACTGGAAGAGGAGGCTACCTCCACTGGAGTTCTCAGCACACAGACTGATCTACTAGTTTTATGGCAGGCAGGATCTGTCCTGAGGAAAGAGGGCAGTGTTAATTATCACTCTTCTAGCAATGTAGCTGGTAGTTCTCCACCACTGGTCTGCAGGAGGTAAGATAATGTACATCAAGGCAGAGAGAGAAGGAAGCTCAAGGCATATTTTTGATTTCTACCTCAGTGTCTGAATTAGATGAAGTAAAAACATTGAAATTATAGTCTCATTTTAACAAAAGCAGACAGTAGGTTAGTCGGTTAGTCCCTTAATACATGAAAGCTTCCCAGTTAGGTACAAGGACAGGTTTGAGGATTTGTCTTAGAGCTGACAATAGCCAACAGCCTTCTGACTTAATGCAAGGAACATGTCTCCACTGGAGTCTGACCGTGTGGTTGTGTAGAAAACCCAAGCTAGCTTTGAACTCAGTGCTGTGGGTGGTGGTAGTTCAGCTGCAGCAAAATGCTCTCAGATGGAGCAGCGTTCCCTTGCCTCAAGTGGATTTGGAACAGTGGTAGGTCATGCTACTCCAGCTACCTACCATAGATAGTTAAAGTTAGTTCAAAGCTATCTGTGCTACCTGGCCTGGCTGTTGTGAGCATTATAGAACTGATACACCATCGTCTCTCTCAGCACATGTTGCTAGGACTGTGGTCAGCCAGTTATGTACTTTAATGCTTCTCACTGTAAAAAGAAGTAAACAAAGACCAGTTTTATCAGTGTGCTGCTGCTCTTTGAGAGAGCTATTCCTGCTCTTTTACAAGGTCAGAAGTACTTCTGGTTTGTTTACCTTCTGGGTATGCTCTAAAGCCCATCTGTTTGAGCAACTGTGGGTAGAGAGCTGCTGCAAGTGAGGAGGTTTTGCTTGTGAGTGAAGGAGGTAATGATATGCAAGTTGATGTATATATCCCACTCATGTGTGACATGGAAGATGTGAAAGATGTGCTTAAGTTTTCAGTTATTCTGGGTAACTCCTCGTTTATATCTTCAGATCTTTATCAAAAGCAGTTTGAGCTTTGACTGAGTGCCCTTCAGTCTCTTAGGTCACAGAATAAATAAATAATAAAATAACTCACTTTGGAAGATAGCAAATTAGCCAGATAAGCATTGTTTAGAACTGTGAAGAATCAGTTGCTGCTCTGCAGTAGAATAGGCCACTTGTGGCTAGTAATCCCTTGATGCTTTTAAGCCTCTGGATGTGCCATTGATAGAGGAGATAACAGGATTCTCTGTCCCTCTCTTTTCTTGCAGAGATTTTGCACAGAAGCTAGCCAGTGCCCTAGCCCATAATCCCAACTCAGGACTCCATACGATCAACCTTGCAAGCAATCCTCTCGAAGACAGAGGTACTGTAACATTTATATTTTTCTTTTTCTACGAATGTAGTAGGAGGATTACAGCTGCTCTGATCAGCTTTGCCAGAATAATAGGTTATTGTTCTGTGTGTAATGTCATTGTAAATATCTATTGTTCACAAATGACCGAGAATCACTATTCTTTTTTGATTTATACATATCCGTCAGCTTGTTGAGAAATATTTAAATATCTTAAACCAACCGTGAATTTCATTAGATTTTATTACATTTCCATAGAGGTTTCTTTTAAAGGAAGATAGAACACAGTGACTGTTTAGGACTAGAGAGTAAATAAAGTGCTGTGCACTTTTAAAGGCAATGTACTCGGTTGAAAGATGAGGCATAAGGCAACTTTGTTTCTTGGATTATATTTTCCTGATGGCTTTGCGTTTTTATTTCAGCCATAATCCCATATTTATTTTCAGTGTTGAGACTATTCCTTTCTTCAGCTTTGTGTTAGTCCATCGTGTTGTCAGTACTTGGCGATGTTCAGGGATACTGGCATAACTGGCATCCTTATGGAGCTAAGTGCTGTTGGCTCCACGAGATGGAAAATCAAGCTGAACAGCTCAGCTTTTCTCAGACTGGGCACTACTAGGCATGATTTCACTACACTGAACAGCTCAGCTTTTCTCAGACTGGGCACCACTAGGCGTGATTTCACTACGTATCAAATAATTCCCCTCCCTTGTCTACTCTCTTTTCACCCGAGAGGCATTTATTTTTAAAATAAGGTTACATTCTTTCAGTCTGGAGGTGACCCTTCCGCACTGCCCATGTGAGATTTCCATTTGCTTCGCTGAATGCATTCCAGGCACATAGTATTCTGGAATCAGACTATCTTGTGCTCTTGTTGGGCCAGAAGAAAAATCAGAATTTTATACAGTGATCCTTTTCTTGTTTTATTTGGTTTGTTTTGGAGAAATTCTTGAATCTCTTTACTGTCATGTTCAAAATGGAAAAGCTGTTCATTTTGTTTACAACCTGCCTGACTCAGAATGTTGTTAGCACAGAGATTTGTAGGCGTCTCTCCTTTCTTGCTTGTTCAGAGAGGAAAAAAAAATGGGAAGGTTTTTTTCCTTTCTTTTTCTCTTTTTTATATCTCTTTTCCTTTTGAGTAGAAACAAGTCTGAAAATATTTTTGGTTTTAACCTGTTCAGAGTAGTTTTTTATTTCAAATGGTTGACATGAATTGCTTTAATTCTTCAAATTTCCTCTTGCCTGCTGATTACTGCTTGTCCCCCTTAAGAATCCATACCACATGAAAGCCAATGTTTTGCTGAACAGCATTATTATTACAATGTGCCGTAGGCCTTACTGCATTGTACAAAAATTTCTGTTGTAAGCTGGAAAAAAGGCTGTTACGTTGTTGATTCTGCTTTTGAAGAAGTGTATTTAGATTGTGGTATATGAAAGGTTTTTTCGAAAGGAACTTGGTTTTGTCTTGAAAGCAAAATAAATGACCAGACATTTGGTAGGTATTTTACACTGCAGGGATTTTTTTTTTTTTAAACATATCAGTGTGGGTACTTTCTTTTCAACAAACATACAGATTCAAACCATTCTGCAATTAAGAGAGATATTGAGCTCCTGGAGCGAGTCCAAAGAAGGGTGACTAAACTGGTCAAGGGGCTGGAAAATAAAACTTATGAGGAGCGGCTGAGGGAGTTGGGGCTGTTTAGCCTGGAGAAGAGGAGGCTGAGGGGAGACCTGATTACAGCCTACAAATACTTGAGAAAGGATGGTGGGGAGGTAGGGGAAGGGCTCTTTACATTAGTGTTGGGTGATAGAACAAGAGGAAATGGGTATGAGCTTAGTCAGGGAAGATTCAGGTTGGATGTTAGGAAGTATTTCTTCTCTGAAAGGGTTGTCAGCCACTGGAATAGGCTGCCCAGGGAGGTGGTTGAGTCCCCATCCCTGGATGTGTTTAAGAATAGGGTGGATGAACTACTTAGGGATATGGTTTAACGGGGATTAGGGACGGTTGGACTAGATGATCTCTAAGGTCTTTTCCAACCTAGAAATCTATGAAATCTATGAAATCTGTGTACCAGATACAAATGAAACGCAGAAACTACAACTTGGAGAAATTAGTAGGATTTTTTCATTATCTCAGTCCTATCACATATGCAATTAGAATTTGACCTTTTCATTAGAGAATTAGGTAAGTTATACGAGTACTTAAGGAGAAATTAACTATAATTGCAATGTGCAAATATTGCAGCTTTTCAGCTTAAGAAAGATTTATGTGTTCTCTGATCTGATATTCACTGAGTGCAAGGTAGATTTGACTTTATTAAGCTGGAGGGGCAGCAAGCATTTCACAAGTAAAAGCTGGTGTAGTGGAGATTCATGTAAACATACGGATTTCAGAAAATATTTCTTGGAAAATCACCTGCAGGAACTGGAAGTTCAACCAGATTATTTTGCAATTATAAGGAAAATAACACAGTTGTGAATTATGGGGAAGAACATATTGTTGTGCCTCGTTTGAACAAAACAAACACCCTAAGCTATGATAGATTATTGAGTACCAATAAGTTAAGCCATTGTATTATTACATTAATGCAACTGTCCCTGTTCCAATAACATGGGAAGTGTGTTTAGTTTCACTAAAAGGCATGGGACCTGGCTTCAGTTCACACACAAAGCAGTGTTTATATGAAGTGATTTACACTAAGACCAGTCTCTTAATTTGTGATTGGCTTCCCTTTATGGTACTGTCAATATTTGTGAGACTAACACCTGGAAAGTTTATTATCAATCTTGGCTTTAAAATCTGGCTATGCTAAAGGTTTGGGAGTTTTGCTTTTGGCTCTACTAGGATCAGAATTTAGTCTCCTATTTTGTTAAAAATAATGCAAAACAAACATACTGAAGCCTAGAAATACTCAAATTCAGAACCGTATGCCTGGATGCAGTTAATTTTACTTCTGCCACTGGAGCGCTCATCTCTGTTACGAGATTAGCAATAACGGATGTCTTAAAGAGCGTTCAAGGGCCTGAGTGACCAGAAGCACTTTTTCTTTTCTGCATCTGATTCCTGTATCTTAAAACTGCATGGATCCTTAACCCCCAGTGCTAGTAAGATGTTAAAATTGTTCAACTTGGCTAAAGTGGTAAGTGGTCTGCAGATTGTTGACTAAATACAAAGATGGAGAGGTAAAATCATTTGCTGCGTGTCTTACTCAAAATGCTTCACAAGAAAAATTACATTTGTGATATTCGTAATGATTCTGATTGTACTCCTTTTTCTTCTCTTTTGTCAGCATAACTCTACTTTGATTTCAAGAGTATATATTGTGACTAAATCAGCTTAACCAATGTGGACAGTCAGCTACAGAATATAAATTCTGAGGCTAGCTTAAGATAGATTGAGCCTCCTACTTCAGAGGAGCTAAAAAGAAGAGCTGTGGAACAAAATGTTGTTCATATGACTTGATAAATTCTTTCTAAAAGTTGTTGAAGACATCCAGTTATCATTTTACTTTACAATAAATGATGCCTTGGCATCAGGGACCTAATATTTTGGTGGTACAAATGAAATACAGTGTGTTGGTTTGAGCTGTGTGGATGTTGCACCTATCACCAGCGTACACAACATGCTTTTACAGAATGTGTTTAGAAAACCCCTACAACAATATCTGCAAGGTAGCACCTCTTTCATTATCAATGATAGCTAAAGCATGATAAAAGCAGAGTAAACATATGTATGGGACACACCAGCGAACTGTTTCATGTCTGCATAGGTGGAGAAGAGTATCAGCATTTTCATTTACTGTGTTTTGAATCAAGTAAAAGGCTCTACCCCCTTTCTTTTTGCCCTTTTCTCACCAAATGAGATGCTATAGAGGACTATATTTCACACCTCAGGTTAAGCCTGGAGTTTCTGTGTTGATTTATTCCTCTAATAAATATTTCATGGATTGGTTCCATTGCTATTAGGATGTGCCCCCTTAATCAAATTTCAATCTTTTGCTTAAATGGGGGGATTAAATTTATGGAGTGTGGAACTTGGATACGCTGAGAAAGGCCTTTAATGAAAAGAGCTTTTTTTTTAATTTTGTTGGATTTGTGCTGAGATAGTCCAGTCTGTGTCAGCATCTTAAGAGGTTTTTACTGTTTGGGATCGCAAGTTGTTGTAGCATTTCCAAGCCTGTGAGCTAGGTGGTAACCTGTAGAATACTGTAAGGGAATTAAGTGGCCATTATGACTTGGTGGAGGTTTCAGATTGTTAGGGTTTGCCTCAGAAAAAGAGGGCTGTGTTAGCTAACATAAGTGTCTCTTTTGCCTTGACAGACACTTCTTTTAAAAGAAAATAAAAATAGTTTGATGTTTCGCATGAAGTACTATTGTTACGTTTTATTTTGTGATTTTTTTTTTTTTTTTGCTGAACCATAAAGCTTTGACATTTCCCAAGTTCTGACTGTATGACATGTAATATCTTCCCTTTGATTCTTTCTCAAAAATATGTATATATTATCTAGTTTTTGAAGTAATTAAGTTGGCTCATTGATCATCAACAGCAAAATTCCCTGTCTGTTCAGTGGTTAGCCAAGAAGGGATCTTGACTGCATCAGTCATTTTGAACATTATTGATATAAAAAAACCAGGGTCATTTTGGGCCCACAGTGAGTGCAGTTCCTCCTGTAGTTCCACCAGTACAGGTTGCCCCTGATGTGATTCCTGGGAAAACCTGAGATCACGCAGTTAACCTGAAAACATCCATTTTCTCTTCACTCCCCCAATAGGTGTGTCATCTTTGAGCATCCAGTTCGCCAAACTTCCAAAGGGACTGAAACATTTAAATTTATCTAAAACCTCCTTGTCGCCTAAAGGTGAGTTTTATAAGTATATCTCTTTTTCTGTTCTAAAAGTTAATAGTTTCAGGCCTCCGTCCTAATAATACCCTTTGATACCAGATTGTAAATTAATTAATTCTGTAAATGGTTTACATTTGTAAATTACATGTACGTTCTCAACAGTGCAGCTGCTTTTTTGCAGTCCTGGGTTGCTGAACCATAGGCTGGATTCTGTGTCACCTTTATCACTTTGAAAAACTCTTACTAGCTTCTATAAGCTTTGGGCTTGAACCTGCATTGTAATTTAGAATTGATTGAATTTAGAATTGGCATAAGTGATATACATGAGGCACTGGAACAGGTTACCCAGAGAAGTTGTAGATGCCCCATCCCTGGAAGTGTTCAAGGCCAGGTTGGATGACGCTTTCGGCAACTTGGTGTAGTGGAGGGTTTCCCTGCCCATGGCAGGGAGTGTTGGAACTAGATGATCTTTGAGGTCCCTTCCAACCCTAACCATTCTATGATTCTATGATATGTTACATATATGCTTCAAAAGCATGTCTGAAGCAAAAATGTGTACGGAATTTTCCAAATGTTTTGCACACAGTTATTTTATGAAACCAAGCATTGTGATGATGGCTGTTAAGTGGTTTACTCTGATTAAAGACTTATTTGTTTTATAATTTACAAATTTCTGATTTGATATTGTAATTGAAATGTGTATATATATTTTAAAAGCAATTACAGTACTGAAACACAAGTCAGAAGCTTTCAGGATTTTTTGCATTGCTGTTTTACAGATAATAGGCACAGTGAACTCTTAAACAGACTGCACAAACCCTGCATCTCCTGTAAGAATATGAGTGTTAAAAATAAGAAAAATGCAGTGACATTATTGCAGCTTTTTCACAGATGTTGATGACCTGGAAAAGATGAATGAGTTACAGTCTATGAAGGACATTAGTTGATAACAGATAGAAGCCATGCTCTTCTATTCTTTTAATTATTGCTCTGTGAAGTGCAGATTCTATGTTCCCTTAAGCTTTAAAGGGTTGACCTGGGGGAATACGAATGAGGAGAAAGGTTTTTTGGTTGTTTTTTATGCGTTTCTGTAGCTCTTGTCATGCCTAAGTAAATAGTAAACCCTATATGGAATTTATTCAATCATGATTTTCATTAGAAAGACTTTATTAAACTCTGGGGTTGTTTTTTCACACTGCTAACTCTATTTTTGGTGACAAGCAATTGAGAATCTTGACTAACCTTACATGGACTCATGAAATTAGATTGAAATTAAATTGAATTGACAGAAATTCATGCAGTTCTGGTATGTTCGTTCATCCTGTGCTTTTCTTCATGTGATGTGAATGATTTCAGCAAGTGCTTGTGATCATTGAGTCAAGAGAACGCTCTAGCTACACTTCCATCTTTTGTAAAGAATAACTGCCAACTTGATGAAGTTCATCCACAAAACTGTCATCAGTAAAAATGAATTCTGAGGTTATGAAAAGAATTGAGAAAGTTTTAACCCACTTTTTAAAGACATTCTTTAAACAAAAGCTGAAAATATTTTCCAATATACATCCGGACTAGCCGGATCGCATTGCAATAACTATCTGTTCTCCAGAGAGTAACATGTCACCATCAATATTGTCCCATGGTAGCTCTTCAGTATTTCTTAAAATAGTATATGCGGTGTCTTAAAATTGGAATTCTTATAATCCTCTGGACCTGAGGGAACTCAGCTTCACCTCTTCGGTTGTCTGCAAAGCTCTCTATCTTAGCCAGTTTTCCTTTAACTTAAGAAGACAGTAGTGAATCGGATTTAGCTTGGGAGGCTATTTTTGAACTTATAATATTTTCTGTGGGGCAAGTCTAAAGGGGACCTTGGATCTTGGATACAGTAGACCCTAAAGTGCAAGGACTTTTTTCCCCCAGCCTTTCTTTTTCTTTTTTTAGTTTGAACTTTTCAGTTTCAGAAATTCTGTACAATCTCTCACTGGTTTTGACCTTATTTAAAAAGCGTTTTCTATTTGAGATAGGTTTCTAAGATTGAGAAGTGAAGTTCAGGTGGTAACTTCCCAGCTGATCTTTCTTCAAATATTGTATCTTAAAGTTCCTGAGAGCTATTAACTCTCTGAGCCTCCTGAGAGCAGTAAAAGAGCATAAAAGATTGTCTGCAAATGAAAGTGATATTACTGTTAGAATATAGCATGAGGTAGGTGAAGTTCAAACAGAAATTTATTGATTTGAAGATTCTGGTTAAATGGAAAATTCTAGTGTGCTCAAAGATAGGGCTTGCTTTTCTGAGCCCAAGCCAAAGGCTAATTAAAAAATCCCTCATTCACATTGTTTGCCTTCAGAGATGTGGCTGATTTTGAGCAGTTGGCCCGTTTAAAACATGAAAGAAGCAACAACATTACAGATGGTTTGATAGCTGCTCTTTCTCCCCCAAACTCAGACACTGCTCCTGAATTTCCAGAATTGGTTCTTGATTGTATATGCTGAATTTTTGACAGTACGTTACATTGTTTTCTAGTTCTTGTTGTTGCTTATAAATGCTGTTGAGAAGACTCACTAAAGTGAATCCAGAGCTATAAGCTCTAGTGGTTTAATAGAACTTTTAGATCTTTCAGAGTTTCAAACGTATTTGTTTGCGGTTTGTCTTTATAGATAGGATGTGGATTCAACAATGCAATATTAAGATAAAAGAAAAATTACATCAAACAGAAAAGTTTTGAGACTTGGCATAGATGTCACTGTGTTTCGATTCTTGTCAGTATCGAAAGCCTCCTGAAACCAAGAGCCATACTACTAACATGGGAGACTTTCTTAAGATTTGAATCTTGGAAAACTAAAGCACTGACATGGAGTATTTTGGTCTGGCTTGCTAGCTGCTTCCTCCACATCCTCACTGGTAAATCCATTTTGTAATAGTTTTTAAGTGAAGAATGGACGTGTTCCATCCAATGAATGCCAGTCCATTTTCACTGACCAGTAGCTTTAAGAAATTTCCCAATATTGTGTAGTAGATCAAAACGCCGACCTGCTTCATAGCTTTGGCTGGGCACTTACCAAAAAACTATTGCATCTACTAAAGGACACAGTGATGCTTATATATGTAAGAAACACACGCATGTAATGCTTGAAAGACAGCAATAGTCATCTACAACAAATTAAGAACTTAGTGATAAGCTACAGAGCTCTCAGATGAAAGTTAGATTTGAAGGAGTTAGAAGTAGCCACATCTTAATTTGTATTTGGAAAAGCTGAATAATTGTGGAGGAAGAAAGCTCTGACTGGTTTGTTCCCAATGTGAGCTTTTTAATTTTAATGTGAAAAACACATATTTGTTTTGATCAGGAGCTGAGAGTCTTTATGCATCTCTTGGTATTTTAGTTAACTGAGTATTTTTCTGAAATTACAGTCAAATACGTTAATTGAAATACTTTTAATTTCTAGGTCTCATCAGTTGCTTTTGAAGTTCTGGCGATTATAATTGTTAATGTACTTGGTCTTCCACAGATACTTTCATCTACTTCCACAGATACTTTTATCTAAATGTTGTTTGCAGGAAGACACTGGCTTAGCATTATGGGGTAAACTCTGTTTTAAAAATCTGTTTCAAAATGGGATTGCACTGTTAAAGCCACTGTAGGTTTGGCAAAAAGACCTTTTCCCTGGAGCTGGGACCTGTAACACACTGTGGCTCCAACTGGGCATCTGGTGGAGCATGGTCCAGGCAAAAACAGGCATACTGTGGCAGGGAAGAGTCTCCTGTCTGCCTGGTGATCTGTATTCCTCTGCTGCAGTACAGTGATGGTAACAGGAGGTCACTAAACATTTGTGTATGTCTGTGTTCACAGATACTGTGTATTTGCAGGATCTGGGCTGGTTTTGTCTAGGGCCGACGAAGTTGAGTACTGACTTTTTTTTTGGCAGGAGTGAATAGCCTTTCCCAGTCACTGAGTGCCAACTCGCTGATCGCAAACACACTTGTCTATCTTGACCTCTCAGGGAATGCACTCCGCGGGGATGATCTCTCAGTAAGTGCTTTCTTCTCATTTGGGAGTTAATGAATGGACATTTTAATTAATTGTTAAGAGAAAGGCTAGATCCTTTTTTGCCTTGATTTCAATACAGTTCTAATAGGGATAGAAAATAACATTTTGATCGCTACTCTTCAGTATACAGTCAGAGAATTAAATTGCCCACACAACTAAACAAATCCACACAATTTTAGTTCGTGCTATTAGTCCTTGGCTTCTATGGATAAATGAGAAAACTGCAAGTGTAGCACTTGTTTCAGTGGACATACCATGCTTCCTGAGTTCTGTTTGAAAGTGACCAAAACACAACTAAAAGACCCCCATGTTCTTTTTAGTTTTAAGTGTATTATAAATCCGTCATTGGAAGGTTGGAAACAAATGATTTCTTTTGGCTTGGAAAGACTTAATTTCTGATTTTCAGTATTTTTGTTTGTATAAATAAATCTTTGCACTTCCTTGACACATGCTGTTGAAGCTGATGATTCTTTGAAGAATGTAATTATTTTTTGCATTCCTTTGTTCAGTTTATCACTTGTCATAGAGATGCAGCTCTGTTTTCTGCAAAACAAAAATCCACTTAGTTCTCAATTTGTAAATATTCACTTTTTGAACATGACACCCATGTTTCTCTCTCACATCAAAAGTTGTGTACGTGTAAGTGTCAGGTTTTGAATTCTTTAAGTATTGAGCATCTAAAATATGCAACACTAAAGTCACTCAATCTTATAATTTAAAGTGCAGTAGGACATGACTGACTTTTTCACAGGTCTTACTAGTTTCGAATTCATCAGCATATTCAAAGAACTAGTCTTTTCAGACATAAGAGGTGAAAGTTTTAGTGGGACAAGAGGATTTAAAAGGTAGCAAACAAATAGTTAAATGTAAATACAGACACAGAGTGAATTACTCTTTAAGAGAGAATAACATATCAAATAATATAAGAACAAAAAGTAAAATAAAATATACAACTTTGATAGGCAATGCTTAAAGAAATCTGTTGTCTATCTACAATATTTTGAGGGACATAAATATACAAAAAGTTGAGCTTTTCTTAGCCTGTCAGATAGGAGAGCTACGGTTCAAATAACAAGATTATTATCATTGGGATCTCTTAATCTGTGGAACAGTTTTCCAACAGGAGTAAGGAAATCCTTTTATTTAACAATTAAAATAATCCCTAGCGAAGCATGGGGATTTTTAAAGCAGGGACCTTTCTTGCCCTGTAGGTATAGAGGCTAAGTGACCTAATTTTTTGAAAGATGGATCTATTTTAGAAGTGTTGAACATGCTCTGTTTGTCTGGATTTCATGTGGAGTTGAGCGTTCCATGTTTCTGTGAATTAGGTCATATTTTTATCTTTCTTTGTTGTGCTCTGAGACTGGAAAAAGCCCAAAATAAAACAGCGTATAATAAGAAGTTTTACATATGCTCATGTTTACATGACGTATCCTATGCAGTATTGAAGTCATCAATATTAAAATCTTGTTACCTTTTCTGTATTCTCCCTTAAACCTTTAATGTGCTGCAGATGTTAAGAAATAACCATGGGCTTCAGACGCAAATTAGTTTCTTCCCTTGTGCTTAAAGAGGCTGGCTTAAATTTACAAACCAATTAGCCTTTCTGAAATGTAACAGCAATCTGAGTCACGTTCCAAGGTATTTCTAACTACCTTAATTATCATTTGCTGTGAAAGTGAATTGCAAGGTAACTCAAGACTTGTGCATTAACAGTAATGTTTGGTAAATGTAGCCTGAGCACCATTTTTCCCCCTATTGTTTTAAGAAATGATAGCCTTCAAAAGTAAAACAGGTTGTATTGGTTAGGTGAAAAGAGGTTTCAGGCACAACTCTTGCAGTGCTATTATAAAAGACTAAAATGTAATGAGAAATACTGACCCAGTAATTGGTGTCATAATACCAAAATTAACATGGATAATTCTTTTTTTCTCCATTAATTATAGAGCCTGTACAATTTTTTGGCCCAGCCAAATGCCCTTGTTCATCTGGATTTATCCAACACGGAGTGTGCGCTAGATATGGTAAACATGTTTTTTTGTGGAGATTCAAAAACCAAGGAAACATTCCCTACCTCCTATCCCTAGGTACTTCTCTGAGTTAATATAAAGTAAAATTAGTCGTCTTTGTTTTCAACCAGGTGTGTGGAGCCCTTCTTCGTGGATGTCTTCAGCATCTAGCTGTTCTTAGCCTCTCTAGAACTCTCTTTTCTCACAGGTACAATTTAAATGTTATTGCTTTCAACTCCTGCAATATTTTGTTTTATAATTTCTTGCTCTCGTATCTTTTAAGAAGAAATCTAACACTTTATGACAAGTCTTAGAAGCCTTGGTGCTTTATGAAATAGGTATTATTTATTCCTAGCAAAATACTTTCGTTCCCTTTCCACTTTTTGCTAGATGGCTGTAAAATAAGCTGCCTTGTCTAATACGTTTTTTTGTGATATTGGTGCAGTGGAAAGTCTCTCTATATATCTTTTGTCTCTAAGAGGCATAATGTCAGGCTTTGAAGTCTGACTGACTTAACTTCTCTTCAAATTCAGTTTGTGGAGTTTGTATTTTTCATGATTCGATGACGGTTACAAATACTCTTCTTTTTTTGTCCTTTTCTGGGAGGAAGTTCCTTTCAAATGCTTTGAGACTAAACATTAACATTGTAGATTACTTGCATTGTAGGAAATATTAACATTAGCTTTTTCTCAAATCAGTGTCTTGGGTCTATATCAGAGATGATACCTAATTGGAGGTAAGCTACTCCAGCAGTGAGTAATTGTTTCTAGTGGTGAAAAGGCAATTTCAGGGTTTTTGTAATGTCCTGTTTGATCTTCTGACCATAAGATATAAGTATGTTCGCTATTAACTAGATCTAAATGATCGTTCTTTATAGTTCACCAAACAGAAGCTAGATAGCAATGTCTTCTGTGCAGCAGTGCAATGCTGAGTTGCTTGTTGAATCAACATTTTGATGACATTATATTTCTAAGCTAATTGAGAGCCACTGATTACAGAGCTGTTGAAGGTAGAGCAGATTAAACGTGTAAAAGAGCCTTACAATTCTGATGGCTTGCATTCACCGTTTATTGAAATGAGGAGTGTCTAGATGTTGCTTCTTACTGAATTTGTTTACTTACAGAAAAGGAAAAGAAGTTCCTCCCTCCTTCAAACAGTTTTTCAGCAGCTCACTTGCTTTGATGCAGATTAATCTTTCGGGAACTAAACTCCCTCCTGAGCCTCTGAAGTAAGAATTTCATTCCATTTTCTCCTGTTGTCTAAAACCTAGTTTGCATTGTTATTATGTGAGCGCCTCATTAAAAATGAAGGGCAAAGGATCTTGCCTTTTTTTTCCCCACCCAATTGTACATTATTGATATTGCAAGAGTGAGTTTCATAATGATCACACATTCAAGAAATGTTTCCATCTCACAGTTGAGACTATTAATCATATTTTGTTCTGTGGGAATGTCACGGCTGTTAGCTTCCATCAACGTTTTTTTTTTGTGTGATATATTTCTTACTTTGTGGCTTATGAACAAAACTGCTTCACAGTAAAATGGGATTATGTACTTGTGTGAGCGTCATTCCTTTGAGACTGCGGCATTGCAACAGCCGTTACGAAACTGAACCTGTTGCAGTGCTTGGGAGGAGAGACCTATTGCACAGAGCTATGCCCTCCTTTTGAGGGGAGAGACGATGGCAGCAGCTTCTAGGAATGCTAAGTGTAATGCGTCTCTTTGCTGTATGTCACCCTTTCTGTGACTAAGAGGTTCTGGTGATGTGGATTGGGTACCGGAGAGAAGCTCTTCTTACAGCCTAATGCAGGCTGAGGGAAATTGTGGAGCACTGTGCCACCCTTCCCGTGCCGTGTGTGCAGTTTTGAACTGCGTTGAATGAAATTTCCGGACATAAAATTTAAAGGTGTGTTTTAAAGTCAAGATAGGTCTAGATAGATAAGTCTTATCTAGACTGATCATTCTGTGATTCTGGCAGAATCCTTGTGTTTATTGGGCTAAATTAAAGACAAGGTCCTTTCCAGAGTGTCAACTTGCTAGCTAATACGCATTAAAGCATACATAACCCTATCTGTAGTGGACAACTACACATGTTCACTAACTATTTTGGGGAACACACCTCCAAAATCTTAACCTGGACACAGATGTAGATATATATGTGTATGTACGTATACTTGTGTGGTTGGGAGCTCACCTCCTGAGGGGGGACAAGGAAGGGAAGTGGGCAGTAGCTCAGCAAGTGAGTAGTGAATGAATGGGAGTTAATGGCAAAATCAGAGACCTGGGTTATAAAGAGTAGTTAGTGAGTACTGGATGAAAAGCTTTTGATACAGTCGGAGGGGAGATAAGGGAGAGAAAAGTGACAAGTGCCACACAGGAAAGAGTAGTGTTCATTGTTTTGGGATATTTTTTCTTAATGCAATTTGACATTGGAAAGGACAGTACAATATGATGCTTAAGTAAGATGCACTGGATTGAAATCAACATTCAACTGTGGGAGCCTATTTAACTCTGATCTTTCACTCTGTTCACTATCATGCTCTTGGTTGCTGTCTTGCTTGCTTAGACTTTACCAAGATCAGGAAGGTATGGTACTGATGTCTTTTCAAACAAAAAGTGATTATTGAGAAACACATTGGTTGATTTTAATTAATTTAGGGCTATTGGCTCTGTGGTGGAGGGCAGCAGGGAGCTATATTTAATGAAGCAAAAAGAACAAAGGATGTGTGTGACTAATACACAAGACAATCTTATCAGTGCTACAGGAAAAAAAAGAATGCTGTGAGACATTGAGTATATCTACACAGATTAGGAAAGGTGAGAATCCCCAAATACTATGGTTCATATTTAGCTCTTCTTGGCATGTTGAATATCTCCTGGAGTGAGAGATGTTTTGTCAGGTGAGTGCTCTACAATTGTCTGTGCTCAGGGAAGATGTTACTGTATTAATTTATCCCAAATACTTGTGAGCCCTTGATCTGCCAGCTGTGCAGCAAACGAGATCTTCCTAGTCCTTTTCAGCCAAAGTGATCTGTATTAGCAGAAATCTACTCTGTTAATGTTTAAGCTTATCTGACTCAATTTGCCTGAATTGAGTTAGAGGGAGTTACTCGCGTGACTGGTGTTGGAGAAGGTAGAGAGGCAGTGATGGGTAGCGTAGGGTGAGCTGAGAGCAGTAACCTCTTTTTCCAGCACAGACAGCTCCAGAAAGGAGCATCTGTCCAAAGTCCAGCTGGACACAGATGGTCTCAGTGTCCATGCTACTCTCAGCTAGCTGGCATTTTGGCATGGTGGTCTTTTGTTTTGATCAGATGTCAGTGTTCACCTCTGCCTAGAAGGTAGGACAGGGCTCTTAATATTTTTTTTTTATAGTTACCTTGATATGTTTTTTTCTCTGGCCTGAGTTTTTTCTTCAGTCTGAACTGCATGTATTTCACAACAGTACAGAGAACTATGGTCTGCAGTACACCTTGCTTTCCTTCTCAAACCCTGTATGACTTGACTAATACACTTGAAAAGCATCTTGTGGAAGTTAATCTGGTGTTGAAAAGACCGAGAATGTGCTATATCCTGGGGGAGCTGCTTAGCCTTTTGGTCTTAACTATAAGAAATTACAAAACTTCTATAGAACAATCAAGACCATAGGATTCTTTAAAGACAAGAAAGTGGAACAACCTTTTTTCAGACAGACTTATTTGTCATTGCCAAGATTGCAGTAGCACATGAGGGATAATTTCTAGAAGGAAAAATAAAAATGGCATAGTGTACAATAATAGTATTTCTCTGACATCTTTGATCAGTGCATGTCAAAAACTTTGACAGTGTGAGCCTTGGAACTGTCCTGTGAGAAAGGAGAAGTTCCTGGTTTGTGTCCATGAACCAGAGGTCACAGAGTTGGATGTGCGATTCAAGATCAAGCCTGCCTGCAGAAAAAAGTATAGATAAAATGCGGATACCTGACACCCTGAGTCCCAAATTCCCCTGATTAATTGTTATTTGATTTATTTCTTATCAACTTCCTTTCAATCAACAGCTGTGGTATGTTTAATCGTGGACGCTGACTCAGTGAGTTTAAAGATACTGGTTAATCAGTGCACTCAGGGAAGGAGACGTACTTGTTTGTACAGTGATGGACCTGTTAATGAAGTGAAGCCTTTCAGGGAGGAGGTTTGCTAATAAAGCTGTACTGCGAGGATGCCACATAGTGGGTGGGCAAGGAGTGCTTTCAGTTCTTGTACGTAGTTAATATAGTTAATATTCCAGCACAGCTCCTTCTTTTTTTTTTTTTTTTTTTTTTTAAACTGAGTGAAGCAGTTTATACTCTTTTCCTTGTGTAAGTGCATGTTGTCATTTTTGTTCATTTACAGACTTTGCCAAAAGTTGTATTTTGATCTGTCAGTGTTATAACAAGACAAGTTTCTGATAAGCTTCTCATGCAAATGCTGATTACAAGGCCAATTCTTGCATTCTACGTGCACCACAGTTGACAAGACCTTTCCATGTATTGCCATGTGTGAGATTAAACATAGTAGCTAAGTATAATTATATCTGCCTTCAGTGCCTTTGAATGCTGGTGATTTTTCATGACAAAGAATTGAGAAATCATGAGATTCTCTTAGGTTAAATTTGTAGGAAAGAAATTAGGGGAAAAAAAAACCAACCCTTTTTTCTTCCTGTGAAGAGACTACATTTGAAGCAGCACTGTGTCTCTTTTTTAATTTGCATTTTTTTAGTAGTTACACTGTATTTTTTTTTCTGTTGTCTCAAAATGTTTAGGAAGTTCTTTGCAAGTAATCATTAGCCAGACTGACTTTGAATAAAAGTGTGTTTGGGAAGGAAATACAGACAAGGATTATCTGAAAATTTGTAAAAACTGTTGCAGAGCTTTCACTTTTTTTTTTCAAAGTCTCTGTATTAACAGCTTAAGAAGTAACTAAGCACAAGATATTTGCCTTTGTTAACAGTGAAGGTCTGGTAAACATTTATGCCTGCAGGGCAAATATAAATAGATTTACAAGGAAAACCTTCCCAAGGCATATGTATCTTAAATATGGCTTTTACGTACTTAGTAGCAAGTGTATAGGCAAATAGCTCAGCAAAATGGATTGTTTTTTATCTCCATGCTACAGTAGTTTGGATTCTGTTAGCTTGCTTTTGGCCAAAATGAAGTTTGGGGAGGAAGTCCTTGTGTTTCTGTATTAACTAATTCAAAGCAGCATCTATTCTAAAGGTACTAGAAGCTATACTCAGATTCTGTTTGCTCCTTCTCTAAAACACTTACCATTGTGCTTTCTGATTTGACAATATTAATACAAAGGTGATATTAACGTTAACTTTTATACGTGGAAACAATATTCTGTAAGAATTTAAAGGTGGATTTATGAAAATCATAATAAGTCATTGATACACTTCTCTGCCATTCTGCCTAAAGACAAACGATACTGTTGGAAATCCGTAAATATTTATTGGCTTGCAGAAGTGGAGAGTTCTGTGATACTTGAACACGATCCAGTGTTTGAGTGTTACAGGCACCATGCCTGGCTGAAATGACTGGCTGTGCTGCATCTTGCAGGTATTAAAACCCCTGTTTTTTCCTGAGTTTTTGGAAAATCAGGGAGTTAGTGCAGTCATTCAACAGAACACTCCTTTTGTAATCATTTGATACACTTTGAAAGCAAATGCTGAAGAGAAATTGTCTGTAATGAATGTTAGTAAGTGTTGATGTAGCATTAGCTTTACGGTTTCTTGATTAGCCTTACATCCCTCCAGTTTTTGAAGCTGCTGGAGTGTTCTAAGTGTGGCAGGTCTGTGCAGCCATTGTCAATTAAGAAGTAACTGCTCAACTGGTGTGGTTTTGTTTTGAAACAGTTCTTCGTGTTATATGCGTATTAACCTGTGATCGCTTAGATGATGATGGTGTAAAGCTGGTTTGTTTTGTTTTTTAAATGATTCTAAAATTGATCTTTTTCAGAGCGCTTTTATTAGGCCTGGCTTGCAATCACAATCTGAAGGAGGTGGCTTTAGATCTCAGTAGCTGTGAGGTAAGGAATATTTATCAGGATGTGTTCAAAAGATGCAATGATTAGAGTTCCCTTGAAATCCACTGGGTGACATGTTCTTCCTCTGTAGTCGAAAGTTGTGGGAAAGGTTATGGTAAAAATGAGCTGCTGTGAGTTACGGCATCCTATATAATGAGCAGAGAGTTTCAAAGCACCTGAATGGCAAAACCCTCCTTGCAGTGTAGCTGTTCTAAATGCCGAGCCAGTGTGCTGTTTGCTGCTTGGCAGCTTCTGCTCTCTGGAGGTGTGATTACACAGGACCCTGCAGTAGGACTTTCCCAGGAGCCCGAATTTGAATGGGTCGCAGGAAGCTGCATGCCCTGGAGGCGTCTGTGGTTTGATTGTCTTCCTTCAAAACCAGAGACATGCTTCCTCTTCTGCAAGTTTGTTTTTTAGCCTTGGGAGAAATTTTGCTTTCCTAATCAATTAATTAATTCAGGCCAATAGGGAACTTTGGTAAAAGTTGATTGAAGCATGCCATTAACTTAAGAGGCACTGTGCAAATGGCTTTAAATATCTCAAGAAGAAATAAAAACAATGTTGAACCTTGGTTTTCTTTATCTTGTTCCACCTTGCTTCTCCGTGCTTTGCTGTGCACTTTGTTTCTCAGGATTGTCCATATTCTTGCAGGGTGATACCTGCGTGGCTACAAAAGATCAGCCAAGACCCTGGGGAGCCAGTGAGGCAAAGTTAAGCAGAGAACTGTGTGGGCTTTTGCCAAAACCAACATGAACTAGCTTTGGCTGAGGCCTTCTGTAGCTGAGTGGCCACCCTTTCCTGTTGAAGCTTCAAAGAAAGCCTCTCGCTTGTTAGGCAGATCTTTCGAAGTCCATCATCTGAGTATTATTTTTTCTGGAAGTGCCTTTCAAATGCAATGTTTTCTTTTTAAGTAGAAAACATGCAATTTGGTGAACATGTTGAAGTTTTGGTCGATTGCTTTTGGAATGTGCACAGATTTCCTTATGAAGAAAAAAACAAACCATTGTGAATGCATTTCATAGTTTGATTTGATATTTCATACTTTTTTTAAAAAATGATGATACTTTGAAGAGCACTACATGTAAATTTCAAATAGAAAAGCTTTCAAGTCAAGTACCCATGCTTCTGACTTCTGAGTAGAGAGATCAGACGGATGATAATTTTTCTTTCAGCGGGAGGAAGGAAAAGGGAGGAGTAATTAAAATAACAAAAATGAAGTCCTGTAATCATAACCTTAAAAGAATAAATTGATAAAACACAAACATAAGTAAATTAGAGTATAAATTAGCATGTAAATCAACAAGGGCTGACAGGAGTGGAAATGTTATCCTTTCATGAAATAACCCCCAGGGTGGGATATGGAGGAGCCCTTTAAGGGGTGATTAGCTTTATTGGACACCAAAGCACAAGCGGTCATGGCCAACTCATGACAGAAAGGAAGGAATCATGCCCAGCTTGCAGTGTTGCGTTCTCATGACTGGTCCCTCCAAACAGACAGCACTTCCTTAAATCCTTCCCTTAACATTTTTTCACATCACTGAGCTTTATCCATTCTCATGTGCTTTGGAAAGAAGAAGTTATGCTTCCACCAGAAAGGGAGTTGATGTGCCAGGAGCTGGGAGTACTCTCAGTAGGCCCAGCACTGCAGGGTACTGCTCCACCTCTCCCTGCCCTCTTTGAGCTGGGCAGGGTCATCTGCACCCAGAAACAGAGCCATTGGAAGCTCTGGAGCCTGTGACCTGCGCTACTCCCAGTTCCTGCGAGCACATGCTGTTAGGAGGCTAGTAAGCTGATGCTTCAGCTTTGCCCTCCTCTTTCCTACATCAGGCAAGCTGTACTCAACTATGGAAGGATAAATCTCTCTGTTCCTTCCCTCTCCCACCACTTTTCATTTGCTCCCATAATTTTCTGGTATATTAACTCCAAGCTTAATCATTTTATATTGCTTGCTTGTTTGGATTTTTTTATTATTTTTACTATAAAAATTACATTTTTATTTCTACCTGTTCAGCACTGATGTATTTCACTCTTTTCCCTTCTGCTTCCCTTAGCTTGGTCACTGTGTAAGTACCCTCTGTGCTTTACCTTAATTACTAAATCAGTAAGCAGCTTTGTTTGCCCTTCCCATATTGGTATGTCATAGCTTTGAACACAATTGACATTTTCAGTTGTTGAAGGCTTGTTCTTCATTTTCTGAATAAGAGCTTGTATTTGTAGTCTCAGAAGTATGTCATATAGGAGATGTTGTAGAGTATCACAGTCCACATTGACAAATAGCCCTTCAATTACTCTGTTTATATATTTTTTTATATATATATTAATAATTTTAATACAGTTGCAATCAATTTTGATCCTAAAAGTCAAGTTGTTATCATCACCCTTAGATGAATTTGTGCATATGAAATGTTTGTGTATTTAAGATTTTGAACATAGAGTTATCGGTACAAGATTGAAAGCTGCTTCTGAAAAATTGCCCACTTCAACCCTCAAAGTGTATATAGCATAAACATTTGGATTCTATTGTGAGTATAATTTTAGTGTATAGAACTTTTATCATACCAACAAACAATCCAAGAGTGCGTATCATCTGCCAGTTCCATAGATTCTGCAGTAATAGATGTGGCACATTCCATTATGGAATGGCTGTTTTGTGGTGGGCCGTGCTGAGAGTGCAGCACAGAGAAAAACGGAATGATTTTGGCATTCATACAACAAATACTACAAATACTCTTACAAAAATAAAGTTGAGTTAAAATTGTACCACTTCTGGACCAAATACAGACGTTAATCTGGCCAGTTCTTGAGAGGATAGGATGAAGGATAAGTAGGCTTGGTTTTACGCAGAAAAGGAAAGATGCCTTACGTTCTGCATTTTTTATGCTTCCAGATGTGATTTATAATTTAGACATTGTCCTTGACCACCACTGTTCTTTAAATGCTCAGGCCAAGTTGTTGAGCTGCTTGTTAACCAATCACATATATCAAACTTTCCAAAAAGTGCCAAATCAAGTCTTGATTGAAAAATACTTCTGAAGGTATTCGTGGTTCCTTAATTATAGCATGGATAAAAGTGACTATACACAGAAAGATCATTAGATTGATTCAGGATATTTAGCCAAGTAAACTAAGTGAAATATTACTCATTTTTTATGCACAGGAGGTGAAAAGGCTACTCTATATTTGAAAAAGCTTTCGCTTTTTTTGAAGCAGGGAAAACGAAAACGGAAAATGGAAAAATAGAGTTTTTGTAGAACTTCTCCCCTCTTCGTCTGAAGTCTATTTCTGAGGGATGTTCATAAAGTGAAATGCACTTCATATAGTTTGCGTAGCTGCAAGAAATAAGAAAATGCTTTGCTTCTCTGGAAAAAAATTTTACATTGTTTAATTCAATAGTATTAGTAAATAAGTGTGTTAAGTTTTAATAACTTTTATTCTTAATGTTGATGTTTTCTTCTAGGCCATTTCATTGTTTTTTCATTAAATCCTGACATTTCTTTTATATTAATTTAATATTGCAGATTAATAATATCATAATTGATACTTTCCAGCTAGGCATTTTTGTTATTGTTGCAGTTTTTCTCTTTTATGCCTATTTTTAAATTAAGAATAAGGTAGATTACTGATTTCTCTTATTTATGGCCTTTTGTGGCCATTTTACAATTGGATTATTTAAATTTTCTTTTCAGTGATAGGGAAACATTTTTTTTTTATTTTTTATTTTTTATTTGCTGCTTATCTTTGATCTGAATGCCCTAGCATTGTGCTAGGAGCTCAAAGAAGATGCTCACTATAAGCCTTGACTGTAGTGGAGCTCAAGGGTAACCAGCATTGCATGCTTATAGGCTGAGCTAAGTTGTTTGTTTTTTTTTTTCTCACTGGATATCGGAAGTATCCTGGCTTTTTCATGAAGAGAACCTGCACCAAAGTCCTACAGTCACTGCCTGGCACAAGTGCGAAATGATTCCTTGTGTCTGCAAGGTTTAAATCTTTTCCTGATTCAAGAGCTGAGCAGTATTTTTATCAGAAAGGAAAGAAAGTCCCTTTTCTCATTTGTATGCAAATAGTGAGAGGGAAGGATGAGAATAGTAGGAATGTGTGCATACGCTGTCATGTTGATGTCTGTAACTTCTGTTGCTGTTGTTTTTGCCACTGGTAGTGCCTTCTGTATTCACAAAGCTTTTCCTGTGTGATCTTGAAATCATAATTGGTTTGCCAAAATGGATGATGTTTTGTCTTTAGTTAAGATCGGGAGGTGCACAAGTCTTGGAAGGATGCATAGCAGAAATACACAATATCACCAGCCTAGATATTTCAGACAATGGTAAGTACACAGAACAGGGATGGAGGGTCATGCAAGTCTGGAGTCTGAGAAACGCTTTTTCTTTCAGCTCATGGTATAATCAAGGATGGTCACTTTTGCTTTATGATTATTGGCTGTATTGGTTATGGAATCGTCTCGGACCAAGAACTCTTATTGCTATAGAATAGATAAGAAATGTTTATAGACTAACTGTACCCTCAGAATTTTATGTTGTTTGAGGTAAATGTAACACAGAAGAATAAATTGATGCAGCAAGCGTCATCTAGAGGAAAGTGGGTTTAGGTACAAAAGGATGAGAACCTAAAAGAGAAATGAAAATGTAGTGAAAGAAGAGAAAGACCAGATACAGAATGAAGACGAGGTCATGATGCTTAAGAAACAAGAGAGGGAAATTTGGAGCAAACGGTCAACCAGTTTCAGATCAGAGAACGCCTGTTTAAGTCTTTGGAAGAGCCTTGGATCATTCCTTTTGCACCCTAGCTGGGAACACCAGCTGGCTTCTCATCTTGCAAACTCAAAGTGTAGATGTGTGGAGTGGAAGAATTCACCTGCTGTGTTTACCCCTCTGACAGCCAAATGCAGGAGTATTTCAGAGACTCCCAGTACAGTTGAATGCCCAAGAAAGATGGGATGGGTTGGCAAGTGGAAAGCTTTGGTTGCTACTGACTCAGCCCAATTATGCAAACAGATTGATTGCTATAAATATAGCTATTTGACATCTAAATTATCTTGCGGATCTGGATCCTAAGTCATTGTAATCTGACTAGTGGACTCTTCAAATACACCGCTAGTTTGGAAATACAGTGCTACAGCAAGCTAGTTTTCTTACTCAGGAGTAGAATAAAATTTGGCTTGGTTTTCAGGTCATTTTATTCATAGCCTGTTATGTTAGCCTTTTTGCACTTGAAGACTTGGAGACCTTGTTGGTACAAAGCTCTGCTAGGACTAAATAGCAATTAGTGTGGTCTCAAAATTCTCAAAGGAACTTTAAACTCTCCTGACTATGCAAGGAACTACCCTTAGGTGGTTGGACTGTGGATAAGGGACTACGTTTCTCTTCTGTGTCTAAGAGATGCCTTCAGTGGCTGATTAGGGTGGAGATTTAAAGTACTCATTTTAGAGAAAGCATTTATTTTCATAGAAAAACACAGACAAAAAAGAGGGAAAAAAAAAAAGTATAAGAATGGAATTTTTTCCAGAGCTCTTGGAAATTAGTACACTGCTACAGTTACCTGAATGAGTATAGTGTTATTAATCAGAGCCTGTCTGGGTCTTTTGTGAAAATGTATTTTAATTCTTAATCTAATCTGATTCTTTACAGGCCTAGAATCTGACCTCTCAACCCTTGTAGTCTGGCTTAGTAAAAACCGATCGATAAGACACTTGGCATTAGGCAAAAACTTTAACAACATGAAATCCAAGTAAGGCTTTTCTTTCTTTTAAATCACAAGAGAATGGATGAGGAGAAGCTGCTGATTTCATCGTCTTCCTAACTTTTCTTCCCTCAGAAATCTCACTCCAGTACTTGATAATTTAGTTCAGATGATTCAAGACGAGGATTCAGTGAGTATCTTTCTGCCTACTATCATCATGTGTATTTGTACCCTCACAGCCTTTTTCTGGTAATTTTTTTCACTGTGTTAATTTGCTGCATAAGATTTGATCATGATCCTGCAGAGACACATCCAACTTTTTTTTTTTTTCCAAATACTAATTTGGATTACGTGTAGCATGTAGGCGAATGTTTCTTGGGAGCGTTTTAGGTTCTGTGCCTGTTGAAAAATATTCATTCTAAATAGTTGGATGTGCTTACCCTAGTCTCTTTAGATCTGAATTATTCAGCCCTGTAGGCACAAGTTTTCAAAACTTTTGTGTCCTGATAGGAGATTACAATGGTAGTGTTCTCTGGGTGATGATACTCTTCCAATAACAGAATTTTTATTTTTCATTTCTTTAATTCATAGAATGCACGATTTCCTGACAGCTGTTCTTGGGTATTACCTTTTTTTTTTTTTGCTTGCAAAGTCACTGCAGTAATCTCCCAGAACTTCTTTCTCCTTCAAAAGATGCAAAAAACCCCATTCACTGTGCTGTTCTTTACTTCTCCTAGTACATTAATCACAGGAGCAATTTCATAAAACCCTTTCAAAATGCCTTGCTGGGGTCCTTGTTTACTTTCTTCATTTCCACCCTCTCTTCTGGTTCTGAAAGACTTTTGTGATTGGATTTGTGTTTTTGCCTTACTTGGTATCCTAGTGTTGATTGGAAGGGAACTTTTAAGATGCTCTATTGCGCTCATGCTTGTCAATCTTTAGTCATCTGTCCTAATTCCTTTCTCCTTCATTCCCTGTGCAAGCTCTGCTTTCCTCATTCTCCTCATTGTCTGAACACCTGCTATTCCTGTTGTCTTTATTGTTTCACCTCCGAGTTCATGGTCTCCACACTAACTGCTGTCTTATTTTCTCCTCCCATCTGTCTCTGTACCCTGGAATTCAGTGGAGCATTTTTTACCAGGGTTTCTGATGTCTCCTTCCATACAAGGTCATTAGACCCATATTCTGGGTTCATCTTTTCTTACTGCTTAGTTGTATTTGAAGTGAATTGTTAAACTAGTCCTCTCTCCGTCCTCTTAACTGGGATTAGTGGTACTATTTTTCCTTGATTCTTTGCCTACCTCCTCACCTTATTCTTTAAAACATGGGATGTCAGTGTGATACAGTGAAGTGCTGGATACCAGAGCCGAGTCTTCAAAATTGAGTTAGCAGCTATAATGAAATCAGTCCTTGTTTGGACAAGTCAAATGGAGTATCATGCTAAGAAGCATATAGATAAAATCTCTGTATAACTTCTTGTACCAAACTTGCCTTTTCATTTTGTGGTGTGTGACCACCTCCTTCTACTCAGTGTCTAAAGGGGATGGTGCAGGGCTGTCTTCCCCTTCTCTCCTTTTCCTGTTGGTACCAGACTGAGTAGTTATCTGTTTCATCAGATAACACCTGCTTTTTCTCGTTGATCATGTCTCTGCCCTGTATCTCATGCTTAATTTTTCACAGCTATCCTGAAGACTGTTACGTCAAACCAGATTAATCATAAACAAAAGTAATTTAGTATTTTTTTTCTCAATTTCCCTCATCCCTTTGCTCTGTTGCAAGTGAACATTTCTTTCCACTCAGGCCATATCAAAAAACATCTCTTCAACGCTCTCTATGCATCTTTTCAGTATCCAAACCTTCTTCTCAAACATGCTGTTGGATTTTCACCATCTTGTTCATATTATTTGTTTACAAGGATAAAGATTCCAACTTTCACCTTATTGTCTCTATTAAGTGTATTAACAACTTTCTGTTTATCTTTCCTGGCTTCTGTTCTTGAAGCTTTCAGGTCATAGAAAAAGTAGCTGCTAAATTTTGCATGTGCCATTCTCACAGCTCTCCTCCCGTTGCATCATCAGCTTCAACTTCTTGTGCTCCTTTTCAGCCCATGGATGATGTCAGCCATTGTTCCAGCCTTTTCCACAGTCCAGTGGTCAGATGCGCTTCTGTAATTCTTACTCATCCTGTCTTTCCCCAGCTAACCTACACAACGTGCTTGGTAGTCTCCTCCTGTTTTCAAAAAGTGTTACAATTAAATAATCCACCACAAAGTTATTTCATTTAGATACTTAAAGTAACTGTCTCTCCTTCATGTCATGCGTTAACCCTTGGGATCCTGTTGGTGTTACCTTGTCTTTCCTCTCCCCACATTCTTTTCTCTTGTTAATCCTTTTCAGTGAAGGAATCTTGTTTGTCTCATCAGGTGCCAAAATCGATCTGAAGCATCTTTTAGCAGCTGAAGAATTGAGGACATAGACTCTGTAGCACCATGGGAAAAGCATGTGTTGCAGATAGCTGCCTACGATTGTCCTCACTCTACCTTGCTGCTTAGAGAATTGTTTTAAGTTTCTAGTTATTTTGGCTTGGTTTTGAATCCTAAATAGAGTGATCCTTGTTCTACCATTACTATGCATTTACTGCAACAAGGCATTAAAAAGTAAGGGTGGAATTGGAGGGACGAGGATATGATGGTGCCCAGAGCATGCTGCTTGGTCACTGTTGCCTGCAGACTGGTACGGTTCAGGAACTGTGCATTATCTCCACAGAAAGCTGAGGCAAGAGGCTTTAATCTAAAGTAGTCATCTGCCAAATGCTTCTTCATATATTTATACACACTTTAAATAGATCTGTTGCTGTGTTAATGAGTCATGAGTAAAATGATCTAAACGATCAATAGCTTGGTTTTATGACTGTAAAAATACAGCTAGACACAAATGTAATTCTACACAATTTAAAAGCAGTAGTAGTAACCTAAACAGCAAAATTTACCAGATGTTTAATATAGACAAGAATGTAATATTTAGATTTGTTGGTTTGTTGTGGTTTTGGGGTTTTGTTTGTTTTTTTCCCCTCTTTTTAAGTAGATGCTGTACTGTGCAGGCTGTAATAATGTATTGTTATTTGTATAGCAGGAAGTGTCTGAAGCTGTACGCTTACTGTGCCATTTCTTTTTTTCTTGCAAAAATAGATGTTACACTGCAGGTACATTACCATTACTCAGAGTGGTAGTCAGTCCTGCATATGTGCAGAGAATTACTACAGAGCTGAATATCTTTAGTTCTTAGTTTAATGTTTGTTGCAGAATTGACCTTTTGGGGGATTTTACAGCATTTTTTTTTGTAAGTGAACAAATTTAGCTTGATATAATTCTTAAATGTTTTCCAGCAGGAGTATGACAAAATCAATGAATACAATCATACAGTTTCTAATTCCATTCTTTACTTTAAGAATTCCTCTTCCTTAATAAGATTGTGTTAAGATATGTTCATTCTATTTTCTTGTCAGGCTTCTGTTTTCTCAATATCCAGCTAAAAGTATTAAAGTTTTTATAAGAAGTAAATGTTTGTAGGCTGCATATAGTTCTGCCTCTGTTAGTGGGGGATTTGGTTTTGGTGGGGTTTTTTTTGTTTGTTGTTGGTTGTTTTTTTTAATGTAATGGCCAGATAATTTAATGATTATTTAGCAGCCTGTACATTTACTCATACAAAGACTGTTTCCTGACTGCCATGTTATACTTCCTCATACATATATTTACTCATACATAGTTACGTTCTGATAGTAGTTTGCATTCAGAGCACCAAGTGAGTCCAGAGGTGTTTGCTCCTTGCTCATTGAGTAAGAGATAAGGGTAGCTGTGCAAGAAAAGTAGCAGTCCACGTGCTTCAAAGACACTGCCGACACAGCAGGTGCATTACTGTGCTATATGTATATTTCTTATGTGACAGTGATGATGTGTAGGTGTCAGTCCCTGCGGAAGGCAGCGCAGAAGCCTTTTCAAACTGTATTCTGTTTTGTCAAGGTGTTGGAGTGTGAGAGGTGAGGAAGTCTTTCCTGAAAGGATATTTGAGGTTTAGAAAAATTGGCATGTGGGAGAGAGCACCTCCAGCAAATTTACTTTAATGCCCCTTTCTGAAGTGACACACGAGAAACAGAAGAAACTTTGCTTTCATCAGGTTATCGGTGATTTCTGTCTGAGTGCTGCGTGGTGCTGATTCTCTGAATCTGTCGCAGGAGGTCCTCTCAAACTTGTGCCAAGAACTCTAAGCGCCTTTCTAATGTGACGCTAATATTCTTTAGGGTACGTAATGTAATAAAATGGGGAAACATAGACAGATTAAGGGCATTAACATAGTAATTTAATAACTTCCATTTAAAATAAAACCAGCATGTGGCTTGTGTTACTGTTAGACTTTTTAATTATAAACCTGCTGTGCCTCCAAATTTTTATGCATTTCCTCATTTATAAGTGCATTACTTATTGTTACAAGCTTTTTGGTTATCACTGTAATCCAGTGGCGGCTGGAGGCTGGAGTCCCATTGTGTAGCGGGTACCATGCAAGCATCTTGGACCCTGGAAGGTGTGCACAGTTCAATTGGTTTATTAATCTAAGCTTTAGGCATCTGATGGTAGGTGCCATGGTTCATTCGTATGAGATGTTGATTTTTCCCATACTGGCAATTTGGAGATTGTAAGCTCCTAAAATTCATCCTCCAAGACATACCTAAGTGGGTGTATTATGACAACACACTCCTCTGTATGAACTCACACTTGACCAAGGGCAGTGTTTTGTGGTATTCTCGTACATCAGCAAAGACAAATTACAATTTTAGCAGCCGTAATACCCCTGCAACACATGGTGATGGATAGACTGTAGTTCTTGAGCTCCTGCCATTGGGACACTGAGAACAGAGGGAATACAGGTGTTTTTATAAAAGATTTTCTTAAGAAAGAAGCAAGTATTCCAGTATGACTTGCTGGAACCCAATAAAGTAGTTTCAGCTTAACATAGTATGTTAAAAAAAATAAGGTTACATAAAGATATTGCAATTACAGGTGTCATAATGTGAATAATAGCCATTGACTTACTCTTTTTAATATCTAACTCTTCTTCCTGTTTTTAATTTCAGACCAGCTACCGCTTTCTGTATCTTTCCTCCCAAATGTCTATGCCCTTAGTTGAAGGAACAGATATGGAAAATCGTTGCTAAAGTTGAAGTAGCAATAATAAAACAGTTTAAAGGAATTGCTTTTGTTTTAACATCTCGGATCCTAATTTGCCCTTGGATAAAGATATCGGTCTGAGGGAAAGGAGGGGAGTGCTAAATATTTTTATTTCTCACTGACAGGGAAGTGTGCTGGTTAAGCAAAACCCACTGGACACTAGAAGTTGTCTTGCAAAGCTGGTTGTTGCCATCTTGCCTCTTTTCAGGTTCCTACTGTATTCTGTACTTCATAGGACACAGGAAATTGGAGACACCGTCACTTAAAAATGTCTTTTTTCCAGGGTGTTACAACTTGATCTGTGTGTGTGTGTATGTGTTTGAACCTGTGCTGTAAGTTATTGACTCCCAGTTTATCATGTGTTGTAAGATTTGCAGCAAACATAGAAATAATTCTTTGATGCTTACTGCTGTCTCCGAGTTTGGGGAACTTGTAACTTCTTTTGGTTGATGTTTGAAGAATGAGTGCATTACCAGTTTCTGTTATCAGTGCCTTTCTGTGCTCCACAGCCTCTGCAGTCATTGTCCCTCGCAGATTCCAAGCTGAAGACTGAGGTCACTATCATTATTAATGCCTTGGGCAGCAATACTTCACTTACAAAAGTGGATATTAGTGGAAATGCCATGGGAGATATGGGAGCAAAGATGCTGGCAAAAGCCCTACAGATAAACACCAAGCTCAGGTAAGGGAAATGTATTTGCAGTAAAAGATAGAATGACTTAGTGATACTGAAGTTGTTGGCTTACTCTCAAGGTGTTTCTCTTCAGAACCCTTCTAGGTACAGCCACTTGATTCTCATCCTTTTTTCTTGGGGGAAAGAAAAGAAAAAAGAGCATCAAATTGTCTCTGCAAAAATATTTCCATAACTGAAACTGGAGAAAATTACATTTCCTAAATTTAAACAGGAAGACCTCTTGATGGAACACGAGCTCTAAATTTCCTAGAATTGTAGGGAAAAAAAAAACCTTTTAATAGAGCTCTGCATGTCATCTAATTCAATGTCCTTCTCAAAGCCCATTTTAAAGCTATATGAGGTTGCTCAGGGCCTTGTCCAGGTGGGTTTTGAAGATCTCCAAGTACAGGGACTTCACAGTGTCTTTGGGAACCCTGTTCCAGTGCTTAGCCGCTCTCTTCTGTTCTGCTCTCTCTTTTCTACTGGAGGCCTTCCCAGCAGAGAAAATTCTGGTACTTGAGTGGGAAACTAAAGTAAATTATCTTCTGGAGTGTCATTTTGTAGGAGAACTAAGTACATGTGGAATTCAGAATGGGTAGCAGCATGGGCCATCCCTCCTTCCCTTCTCTCCTGCCTACAGTGCTGATGGACCTTGGCATCTCTTCTCTGCAACTTCATCCGCCCCACAACTTCTCTGCTTTTTAGCACATGTCTGGCTCTGATGGCTTGAGAGTATCACTTTTTTTCTAACCAGGATGTGATTGGCAAACAGTAAAACCTTCAGTCAGCATGAATCCTGATGGGGACCTCTAAATATGTCACTATCATCAGGAAAGCTAATCCTCACTTCTCCTCTTGTCAGACTGTGCAGATGAACCTTCCTCAGTGTATAGTCTGTGTGAAGAGACCACTTTGTGCTTGGTCTCTAAGCGTTTGTCCCCTGGAGGATAAGAAATTCACCAGAACAGTCCTGGCTATTTTGTTCAGAAGCAAGAATCCTGGTCTTTGCATTGCTAGGCCCAAAATGAATATTGAAAATGTCAAGAAAACACTGGAGAGGTGGCTTAAGGTTTATTGAATGTAGTAACTTGAAATGACCCTAGTACCTGAAAAAATAAAGCCTGGATGGCTTTCGGGATGGCAGACTGAAATGTTCCACAGTTGACACTGAATGTCACAGTTGACATAATGTCACCACAGTCTGTGGTGTGATTGCGAACTGAATAATGCAATGGTAACTGGCTCTGCTTAAAATTTTATAAAATCGTGTCCAGGTAGAAACATAAACATATTTTCAGTGACAAAAATATCCAAGATTTGACCCTAAGCATATCTCATCTTTGCAGAGTGGATGTAGAATCTCTCTTCCTCTCTTCCTTACCTCCACCTTTCTATGTAGAAAACAAAGGGATAATTCTGCCACAGCGGAAAAATGTTAATACCTGTGAAAGCCTGCTGTCTATGTGGTTTTGGTTTTTTTTTTCTTTAACACCAGAAATCATTGTTTGGTTTTGTGCCTTTTTTTTTTTTTTAAGAACAGCTACAACTAGTGCTTTCGCACAAGCAAGATTTATCTGCCTGACTGTCTCTTCTGACTACTAATGAGATCTTTGAACATGTGTTTGCAAATTGCCAGGCAGTCTGCTTTAGTGGTCTAAACTGGGGGAGGAGGGGGAAGGCTCGATCACGCTTATCACTATTGTGGATTCAAAAGAGCTGCAATTTATGCACCTAACCTAATGGCTTACACTGGCAGCTAGTGATGTTGCCGGTGGAATGAGCTAGTACAGGATTGAATATACAATAGCCTGCAAGTTTTGACCACCAATCAGCGTGATTTTTTTAAATATCCTTTTCCATAATTGTAGCCATATAGCCTGTGTAGAACAGAGATTGATCACTTACTGCAATTTTCTTGTTTTTCAGTGTGGGCTTACAAAGCAGACATTTGAGCTTTATTTTTGATGCTATTCCTGGAAAAAGCTGAAATTTTATCACCAAGTCTTTCTATTAACTGTATTTTAGAAAAGTTCTGGGTTTATGTTAATGGTGGAAAATATAGTACAAAGTCCCCTTTAAAGAAAGAGAAATTGAATTTTGTAGTATCTTTGCCTCTAGCTTCTGTCATTTCAACGTTTTAGCATATAACTAAAGACAAGTTTTTAAAATGTTGCCTGCCACTACACAATTTTGAACATACAGTACTGTGTTATTTCAATATGCAAAGTTTCAGTATAGATTTATTCAGTGGTTCTTCTTTAACTTTTTTTTTCCCCCCTTTCTTCTTCCCCTCTAACCTCTCAGAACTGTAATATGGGACAAGAATAACATCACTGCGCAGGGCTTCCAGGACATAGCTGTGGCACTGGAAAAGTAAGTTCTCTAGCAACTGAATGACTCATGAAGAGGCCAAAGACTTAGATCCTGAACGATCTGAGCAGCTGCAGTTCTTACTGCAGTCAGTGTGATTTGAAGATGCTGAGTGCTCTCAATTTTAAGCATCAGGGTGCTTAATCTAAAGGAAAATGTGTGACTTCACATCCTTCAAAAAGGATGGGAAAAGACTCTGTGACTTTTTCATCCGTACTCCGCTATCAGCGTTAAGGCCATTGAATTCTGCTGTTAGCATTAAAATTCTGAATTCGAGAAGATTTTCCCTTTTCTTCATTCTCTTGTGTTGATAGGGTGCAGAAATTCTATTCTAGTCAGTGAATGAAGCTGTATATAATAACAGAAAATTACTGAAGCATGCCTTCATGGTCTGACTTTTTTGTCTTTCTCCCAGCAAGCTGAAACTAATAGTGATGATCTCAGGAACTGCAGTTGTTCATGGTAATTGCTGTGGTCTGGGTCATTTTGCTTCCCTGAGCTTGCTCACAGTTGCAGCCGTTACCAGTGATAGATGCTAAATGACTTTCCCCTCTTTCCATCTCCATAACATTTCTTTGTATGTTATTATTACTTTTTTTTAAGAGGGAGAAATTACGGATGTAAATTAAGTAGCAGTTGCAGTTGTTTCACATCATAAAATCCCTCAGAGAGGGATAAAGGCTCTCTTTAGGTGAAGGTAACGTATAGTTGCTGGTGTCCAGACAAGATGTCTCCCCAAACTGTGTAACTACTTAGGGGAGCATCTCAGCCCTCAGAGGGGTCATGAAGCTAGAGCTTACAAAGTTACTTGTTTTATGGAACTATTGTAGTTTATGGATTGGTTTCACAATTAATTCAGCTGCACTGGAGGAAATTATACAAATGATATATTGTATTGCATTTGTGTGGTGGGGTTTAATGGAATAGGAAGTGAAGTTGAGAAGGAAGTTAAGTAGTCTGCTGTTGGAGTTAGTGCATTTAGTGAGAGATGGGTGCACGAAGCCAGTGGATTTGACTCAATTGAAATTGTCAATTGAAGTGTTCAAAAATAGAAGGCTCCAGCCATATTTGTGAAGCTCTGGATGGAACAGGAACAGACGGTTAGTGGTACGCTTGCAGAAAGCTGAAGGAGGAGGAAGAGATGTTTGCAGGAAATTAAAGATAATTGAAAATAAGCAGGGTAATTTCCTTTCCAGTTTTTAAGAACGTCCTGCTCTTTTTTGCTTTCACTTATTCAAATCTGAAGGCGTGTGGACATACCACTGCATATAATGTTTTAGGTTTAACCATGTCATGTCATGCTAGCCAAGGTATGTTCTCAGAGTTTAAATACAGTTTTGAGTCAAGCCCAAACCCCTATCTTTATTCTCATATCATAGCAGATGGGCAAAGCTATGGAAATATTATGCAAACAAATAAGTAAAATGTAGGGAGGAATTATTTGCATAAAGCAATGCAAAGATGCTACGTTCATTTTGACAGCTTTTGTTTAAAATTCAGCAAGTGTCTTCAAATTGTTGTAAACACAAGAAGTTATTAAATACTAAATTTTCAAAACTCGGTCTCTTAGCCCTATCTATCTGTTACTGAATATTTCCATTTAGACTAAGATCTGATAGAACAGCCAGCAGGCACTGACACTCCCTGTTCAGTTTTGATGCAGGAGAAAGTAATCCAACCCTGTGCACAGAGGTACAGAGGACAGCTGGCCTCTAATTGACAGCCACTGGGCATTGGCCACTTCACTGCATTTTGTGCTTTTTAAGATCTCCACCTCTATCTAGTGACAAAGAAGAATTGGCAGCGAAAAGGAACATGCATGCCTCCAGTTAGTCCACGAATAGTTTAAAAATGTTTGTTTACAAATACGAAAAATACGTTCTTGGTACCTTCCACAGACAAGCTCGATGCATCTTATTTCCCCCTTCTCCTTTATTCTTCATAAAAAGATACAGTAATTAGGTTAATTTTACTATTAAAAAATCTTTTCTTTTATTTTTCTTTAGAAATTATACTTTGAGATTCATGCCTATACCAATGAATGATGCTTCCCAAGCACTCAAAACAAACCCTGAGAAAACAGAAGAGGCACTGCAAAAGGTATTGCACATACCACAGATATACAGAAATAGAACTACCAAAGATAAAGTAATAACTTTAAATGGCTGTGATTTCATCCTTGGCTGAGTAAGAATTCTAGGCTAGATTCACTGATTGATAGATTTGCATGGACATATGCATGGTAATCAAGTGCTGCAGGAGCATGTAAGGCTTTTTATTCCAAAGAGTGGCTGGAGTAAAGGCTGATGGAATTCAGTGGTGTAGTATAGTATCAAAAAGTCATAGCTAAATAAACACAAGCTAGACCTTGTATTGCCATATGCATAACTGAAAGAGAGAGTTAGAAACTGCTATGTTTGCTGCATATGTGATTGTGCATATTTCTGTGCACATAGAATTATTGGTATACGTTTTTTATTTTGGCATAAAAAGTGCAAGGCAAAGGATGCTCTGTAGTTTGGGGAAGGATAAAAACATTTACTGCCTGTGTTTTATATCATACATACAAAATCCATGCGCTATGTTGCCCTAAATAAGCAACTGCACCAACATGTTCTTTTGGATGAAGAGGTGTTGACAGTATCTGCAGTTGTTCCATTTGCATGAGTTATAAAAACTCTCAGCTGGGTTTTAATATAGTAAATCTTGCAAACTCCAAATGAGCCTCCTGCTCAATCAGAAACCATACAGTTCACATCTCTTTAATGAGTAGGTTTTTTTCAGCCAGGGTAAGGTCATAAAAACCTTGTAAATGGTTCTTACAGATAACTGTGATTAAAAAGCAAATGTCTGTGATTCTTATTAGTAAAGAAATTTTCAATAAAGTGATTCTCACAGGGAAAAGTGCTGGAGGTTGGTGCCTTTTTTGATGCATGAAAATGATCTAAATTCTGCTTTAAAAAAATCTGAGTCATGGGGTTGGACATATTTCTTACATCTCATTTAATATAATTGTAGATTGGTTCATACCTACAATGGTAGCTGCATCTCTGAAAAAAATACTGTGAAGCTTCCAGCCACAGGGATTTAATTTCTATGTGTTAATTAGGCATTATGTACAAAGAGTGTTTTCTTTTATTCATTTCAAAGTTGCTAAAACTGTTTGGCCCTGAGTTTGTTTTAACATGTGTGGTTCAGGCTTTCTTTACACAACACGAGGAAGTTCTCTCCAAAAAAAAAGGTAACAGTCTCTGGAGTGGTGCTGTGAACGCAGCTAATTCCATTCACACCGGAGCGCCTGCCCACATGGACTGAGCTGTCGTGTCTGGTGCAGGGACACCTGAACTGACTGACTGATGTGTCAGGAGGGTCTGTAAGCTTCAACAAACCACAGCTTGAGTACAATGAGAGCACTTCTGGCCCTAGTCCAGCACCAGATGGACATAGTAGCTAACCTCCCGAGCTCCAGTATCTGTGCCACACGCTTTACTTAGTGTGGGCAAATTGGTTAAACCCCGCATTACTGTGGGGCATGGTCAGGCTGTTCCGGTTCTTGCTGCTGATGCAAGAGGTTTAGAGGTGACCATTAGTCTCTGCCTCACAACCGCTTGGCCACCGCACTCATCCTTTTCCCCTCTCCTCCTTTCAGACCAGATCTGTCGCCTTTGATGCACCTTTGTCAGTTTACTGGTAGGGTTTTTTGACTTGACTGAGTTTGGTAGAGCTAGGTTAGGGCGTTTTTCTATGTGCCATTAAGCTGGCTGATGGTAGGTGTTTACTGCCAGGAACAGCCATGGAGGGCTGTGACCAGCATCTGTGGGTAGGAATCACTTGTCTTTGAAGAGCGCTTATATACTGCTTAACCTTAACTAACATTTGAACTGAGGCTCCTGTATCTGTTAGGCACTTCTAGATATGTTATCTTCTCTCCAGACCATACTGCAATTTAAATCTGTCTTTGCAGCAGGTCAAATGCATCTAAAAGAAATGAATTGACTATCCTGTGTCATCATGGTCTCTACAACAAGATTTTATGGATAGAGTCCCTTTAAATATTCCTCAAACCTGGATCTACTCCTTTGTCAGCATAACTAAATTGTTCGAAGTAGAAGACTAATTCAGAAAACACTGGAAAAAGCACAGTGTTTAATGATGTGTCACTAGTCAGTGAGTGAATGAATATTGACCAATGCGATTATTAAGCATTGAGACACACAGAATAAGGTTTGCAAATAACAAATAAATACTTAGGCAGTTTTTCCTGTCAGTCCTCATTTCTGATACATCAGCAAAATTGGAAGCAGATTACAATGTGGACAGTTGACTCGGTTTCCTAATCTGGCTTTGTTTTTTAGATAGAAAACTATTTGCTTCGTAATCACGAGACCAGAAAGTACCTCCAGGAGCAAGCGTACCGGCTGCAGCAAGGCATTGTCACTAGTACCACTCAGCAGGTGAGAAATTGTTCCTTACTGGTACTTCTCAGTGCCTGCAATCTGCCTGGGGACAGAGTTCTCTCTCATTCTGTCATCTCAAGCAAGATGTGCCCTGTGGGTGATGCGTCATTTCCCAAGAAAAAGTAATTATCAACGATAATATTTTTTGAGGGGGAAAAAAAGCTTTTCTGAAAGAGATGTCTTATGTATAGTAGTACTGCATAGAGAAAGACCTGAGCTATTTTTGAGTGAACTGCTGTTAGAACCAGGAACAGTTTAGTTCATTTGTGCTCAGGAGTCTGACTTTTCAGTAGGCTCTCATCAGTATGACAAGCACAGTAATAAGACTGTGCCAGTTCTGGTGTCTGAGTCAGTTCCAGTCTCTCTGCCTGGCACTGAGCAGCCATGTAAACATGACCTTAGCTACCACCAGAGCAAGTCGTCATCTACCTTACACCTTCAGAACTGTGGGTGTCATGGGAAGGTTTACTTAGAGGGTGGGAGCAAAGGCAGGCTGAATTCTTCCATGCTCTTTATAGTCTGGACAGCTGAAAAGGCTTCTTGTCTAACACAGCCCAAAATATTGCTGCTTCGAAGCTGGGAAGATTTTTCTGTTTTGTCCACCACTACCAGGTTTCCTAAACGCCGCGTGTTCTATTTTTTTTTCCTTTCCCTTTAGAGAACTGCAAGCGTTTTCTGTGGTAGCTCACCATTCTCTCTCTTCTAGTGCTTTTCTTGCCAGTACCACTCAGGGCTGTTTTCAGCTCCAGTACACCATGGAAGCAAGGTGGTGTAAGCAGAATAAAACTTGTCACAGCCTTTGTTTTAAATTTACTTCCATGTTTGTTCACACCAGTTGTGTTCCCATGCAAATGGGAGACTGGCAAACAGGAGCAGAACATCTGTTTTCCTCTTCATCTGAGTCAATGAAATTTCTTGCTGTTATCTTTTTTTTTTTTTTTTGTGAGTCTTAATTCAAAGTGGCCTTTTTCTACCTGTGTTATTAGAATTTAATGGGACAGAGTTTTATTACTAGAACCTGAAATTTTGCTCTAACATCTTGACAGAAAATGATACGTGAAGGTGTACTGACACTAAAAACTGCGAGAGCAGAATCACTTTATTTTGAGTAATTTATCTGTTCCAATGTCACCTTTTTTTCCCATGTTAATAATCTCCATATGAATTAAGTTTAGATCTTTTTATAGCTTGGTGGTTTTAGTTGTGCTTTTCTCCAACAATCGCACACACCAGGTTTCGGTAAATGTAATTTATTGTTATTTTGACAGTAGAGAAAAATTACTTATTTCTATATTAAATTGTGTAGAACAAGGATGTATTTTAAAAACAGTTTTAAAAGAGAGTTGGAAAGGATTCTCTGTTATTATGGCAGAATTACATTACTATTCCCAGAGTGTATTTTTTTTTTTAAGTCCAGATGTCCCAATGAGACTTTCCACTGTCTAATAATTAATTAGCTTTTTGTACTTATACAAAAAAAAATACCCAAAACCCTTTGAAGAGGAAGAGTCGTGTGGAGCAGAAAAGGAGCATGCTGTGAAATTATTTCAGTTCTCTTTGCTAATGATATAAGATGCTAGAACTCTAGGCTTTGTATGATGATGACACATGGACTCAGATGTTGTTTCAAAATACCAAATAGCCATTTCTAATGAATGCCATGTGGGCTGATAAAGACTTTTAACTATTATATCTCCCTGCCCCATATATCTTAATCAAAACTGACTATGTGTCAGGAATTCTTATTGGTTTGTCTTGTAAAGATACAGTCATACTGCGTGCCCTGTATTCGCAGCACGTTGAATGAGTGGTGTTGCAGATACAGATTAAGTTCAATTTATCTCACTGTGAAAGGTCTGATGGAAACTTCTGCTTTGGTAGTTATAGTTCCCTTCCAACTAGGAATACTTACATTTTGAAAGAATCCCCCCGAAGCCTACACTATTGCGTTTTGCTTAGACGGGAGAAATCTCTGTAGGTGTTTGTTGAAAGGGTAGTGACAGAGCTTTCTTTTGCTCTCTGAACTTAACAATTCAGAAACCTTTGGAACAAAGTGTTAGATACATTGGCCACATTTTTAGCATTAAACTTGCTCCAAAAAACAGAACAACACTCAAACTGGATAACTTGTTGGTT